GACTAAAAGTGATCGAGGATGGATTTCAGCAACCTTGATGATTGATGAACCTGTGATATCTTTTTTGGCTCGTAAAATAAAAATAAAAGCTGAAACTTTTCCACAGAATCTTGCTTAAACGGCACGTTGTAGTGGTGAGTGAAAAGCTCTTTTCTAAGTGTTGAACCAAACGGTCTTTATGACAGCCTTATTTGTTGAAACTGGGGGTTAAGTACACTTTTAAAAAGTGTAACATGTAAAATAATGTCTTGGTAATAATGACTAATGAAAGGGTCATTATGGATTAATCATATTTTAACCCTGTTTCTAAGACAACAGAAGTAATTATGAAATATTAAGATGTACTTAAGCCCTATTTAAGTGGGTCAAAAAAGCACTTACGCCGCCTTCACACTGGCAGTTGAAATCAGCTCCGATGCGGCTGCGAAACGGAGATTCGCAGACCGCATGCGAATGGGTCCGAAACAGGTCCGACCGAGTGCGGTGCGAAGAAAATCGTGTCCGTTGGTCATCCGGATGCGTTCAAAAATTTGAACTCGTGCGAAAAGCTACGGACGGTTCCTATCCGACAATTCCAGCAGAAGTTGAGCGTTGCTATGGTACTGATAAACAAACCTGAATTATTAACTTTTAATAAAATAAATTATGATTTATAAGGATAAGTTTTCATGTCATTTTTTATTTTCATGACTTTCTAACGTTTATAAGGGCAGTTAATACAATTAAATTGAAGGTAGACATTGAACTATTGACCACTATATCACATATTTTAGCGTATCATCAGAGAGGTCATACAGAACTGACAGAATCAAACTTTAATAATAATAAAAAAAAAAAAAAACAGAATCCAACTTTAATCTCTCTCTCTGCCATTTTTGTTCTACCCGTGTCCGACGCTTTTCACTGTGTAGTACAACGTCCGTTGGGAACGTATTGCGTATTACGGAGCTGATTTCAACTGCCAGTGTGAAGGCGGCGTTACAATTAATATAAATTTGAACTATAATACATTTTTATTTAATTGTAAATAAACTGCAAGTGTATGAAAACATTGCATCCAGTTCACATTTAAGTATATTCTATTATTTCCGTAAGAAGTATGCTCTACACAAGATATACTAGGATCTTCATATCTTGCTTCCATTATTTCTGAATATTTGAAAGAGCGTTGTGTCCATGTAACTACAAAGTGCTCCAGGTTTGCATTGTGTGTCAACTCTTGGTTCTGTCAGTAAAGCAATGGCGGGTTACCCAGAATGCCGTTCGACTGCAGCCCAGTAAGTTGATGCTGTGGTGATTCTGGATGCAGGACTGAGAGAGGTGGAGTGTCACCTGATCCACCAAGCGTGCCGTAGAGATCACGGGGTGGGGCTGTCGTTCACCTCTTGTCCTTTCTTGATTCTTCCTCTTCCTCTTGTTCATTCTCCCGCCTCCCTCCTTGATATTCCTCTATATTATCCTGTCTCCATATATGCCGGAACATCTCTCCGCTCCCCTATTTATCTAATTTTTTACCCTCCCCATCTCTGTTGGAGTTCGCTCTGCTCAGTCAGCAGGTAAGGCCTAACACTGCAGCAGCCGAACCGAGAGAGAGAGAGAGAGAGAGAGAGAGAGAGAGAGAGAGAGGGCGGATGGGAAATCAGTAAGGCAAACATTATGATTTAGTGTTCTGTTTACATTTCCTTTCTTCCCTTTTGTATTTTGCTTCTTAACTACTCTTGTTTTAAGCATAAAGCTCTGTTAAATTTATTTTGTTAAATTTATGCTTGAAAAGAGAAAAACAGTCTCACCCCACAGTGCAAGAAAAATAAACTTAATTTAAGATGTATTCTGTGAGGAAAAGTCGTCTTATCTAACCTAATGTTGCTTCTCAAGTAAATGTATCTTGTTTTAAAGATTGTTTGACATTTTTACTGGAAAACAAGACTAAAATACATACTTTTGCAGTGCTGTTCTTTGAGGTTGTAGATATTGATCATGTATTGACTGCATGATGCGAGAAATTCAATATGACGAATGATCTTGGGACACTCAGGAGACACGTTAGTTTTGTAATGTGCTTACATAAGTGTGTGTGTGTGTGTGTACACTCATCTACCTATCTAAGTGGGGACCTTAGTGTCGTTACACACTGACCAACAGGGGACCGCCGACTGGTGTGTGTGTGTTTTCCTGGTAAACCCTACATTGCGGAGGATATAATACCAGAAATTTTGACCTTGTTGGGACATTTTTACTGTAAGCTACAGTATAAAGATTACAGTATTACAGTATAAAACAAAACATATTAAATATTTTGATAATTTTAAGTATTCTGCAGGTAGGATTAGGCCAGGGATTTGTACAAACCACTAATTTTGAGGACTACAGGACATATGATATCATCAATTTTGAACAAAAAATATTTCGTTCCACTTTAGACATTCTTCTAACTATAAGTAACTTTACATTTACATGACTGTCATTACAATATTAGGCTCAGGTTAGTAGAATAAGTTGACATGTAGTTGCAAAGATACTTATAGTACGTAGAATGTCTGTTTGGGAGCATTAAAATAAAGTGTTAGCAGATTTAAACAGACAAAATTGATAATTCCGCAAATGACTGCAATTGCATATTTCAAACAGAGATGGCGACAAAGAGGAAAACGCGGGACTGCAGCTTTAAAGACGTGTATTATAACCGTACGTTCACACCGTCGCCGACTTGAGCTTCCAAAGCGGCCAGAAGTCATTCATTTTCAATGGAAGCTGGCTTTTCTCAGCTGTAAGGCGCGTCAAATCCATCGGCATCGCGTTTTGGGCGTTTTGAGCGTCAATCGGAAAGTTGAAAGAAGCTCAACTTTATAGTAATGAGCTGTGACGCGGTTCAGCGGCAAAACGCCAGCAACCAATCGGAATATAGACGTCCTTCTAACTGGCTGATTCCGGAGAAACACACAATGTAAACTTTCGTTCCTACCAAAACATTAGTTCCGAGAAAATGCTGTGATTGTGGTTTCGTATCATTTATGACATGACGTTGTTTGCTTATAGAAACTTTTATTTTAAATATTTACGAACGCTTATTTTAAAGCGGGAATGCAATTAATTTGCTCACGGTGACACCGATTTGACCGCAAATAATAATAATAATAATAACAATAATAGCTAACTTTTTTCTTTTAAACGATTGGAAAAATGCTGTCATTATAAAAGGTTTCTTCAACGTATTGCTTGTTTTTTGTTCTGTTTATTACATTTATGTTGCAACACTTCTATTGTCCCTGCAACGTCAGAGCGTCCAAAGCGTCTTCCCCGTACTATTTGACAAGCGTCCTTGACAGGACGGCCAGAGCTTCTTTGACACTCAATTCGGCGGCGGTGTGAACATACAGTAAGGCTTGTTGAGAAGGAAAGCCAGTGATTGGTCTCTTAAAGAGCACACAATGTTTTGATGTCTGTGCATTTCAGATTACAGTAACGTTTCATTGCTGTTTCTCATACAGATTCAGGTGATTAAGATTGAGACCGAGGACAACAGAGAGACACGCTCAGCAAAAGATGCCCTACTTTTGTGGTGTCAGATGAAAACAGCAGGGTAACTATCTCACAAACAACCCAGGGACAATCATTTCATATAGCCTTTATAGAAAAAAACATTCTTTTCTTAAACATGAGACATTTTTCATGATGCTGTGATTTTTTTCACAGGTACCCTGAGGTCAACATTCACAACTTCACCACATGCTGGAGGGACGGCCTGGCTTTCAACGCGCTTATTCACAGGCACAGGTTAGCGGTCAGGCAGACTCACACTCGCCTCGTACATCGTACCAACTTTGCTTTCATTTATGCCATTCACGCCTGTTCTGTGAGTTGATTTCTGCTTGTATGTTTCACAGGCCTGATTTAATTGAATTCCCACAAGTTGACCAGATCAAATGCAACACACAACCTCCAGCAAGCCTTTAACATAGCTGAACAGAGTCTCGGACTCACCAACTACTAGACCCTGAGGGTAACAAACAGCATTTTACTCTCACTAAATAGAGTTAAGGGATGGTTT